GAAAGTGTTATTTGCATAATATGAATCTAAAACATAAAAGTAAAACCTCTATGTGACACATCTTTGATTAAATATTTGGTTACACAATTCTGTGACTATCTGAAAGCAATCAATACCTCATTAACCACAGTCTAAAAGCACTCTCAACTAAGAGTGCTGTGTTTTACAGTGCATTTACAAGCTTTGGTTGTCTAGTAAATTTAGATTTAATGTGTCCTTTCCACCCACAAAAACAGCTGTGTCTTGCTCAGAGTCTAAGCAGTTGCTACATTTTCGACTCTTTTGCACATATCATTTCAGAAACTACTTCCTAACAATTCATCCCGTGTGGTCTTTATGATTGCTGTGGATGTTTACTTTAGCAAACGCTTTGAAACAGAGACAGTTTTGCTGAAGGGCACAATGGTGCTGCTCCTCAGGTCATGAATCACCCCTTCAGGGGTTTGAACCTATGACTTGCTTCTAGCCCAGATGTTTAACTACTATTCTCCCATCAGGCGCCAGCAACTTGTCACAATGTCAGTCAGCATTACCATTCATCACACTGCCAGCCATCATCAGTCATCTGTGACCTTTGTGAACTTTTGTTCTCCTCCACTGACACATGCACAAAGTTTTAGGATGTTACGTAAGGTGCGCCCTGTTAACACTGCCAATGATTTCCAGCAAAGGGCTTGTTTAATACTGAGAGAATAACAAAATAAATCCACACATGTGTATGCTTGATTTTTGGTGTAATATGGATTAATTAGTAATGAATCTTAAAGGAATCACTCAAAAATCATTATGTACTTTATGTTTATGTTGTTTTTCAGATCTGTCTAGTGTGTAAACATATAATACAGACTGGTTTTGTGAATGGGATCAATTAGGTTAATGAAAACTCATGAAGGGATGTCAAGATTTTCAGTAAATAATTTCAATGTTGGTTTGAACCCCGCACAAAACTACTGTAAGGCTTCAGAAGACCTGACATACACTACTGTTCAAAAGGTTAAAGTGTCAATTTTAATATTTAAAAATATCATAAGCATGGCTGTATTTATTTGATAAAAAAATAAAACGGTCATTTTGTGAAATATTGTTAAAATTTTAAATAACCGTTTTCTATTTTAATATATTTAAAAATACAATTATTGAGATGGCAAAGCTGAATTTTCAGCAGCCATTACTTCAGTCTTCAATGTCACATGACCCTTTAAGAATAATTCTAATATGCCTATTTGATGCTAAAGTAACATTTCTTATTATTGTCATCTGAAAACAGAAATCTTTTGTAACAATGTAACTGTCACTTTTGATCAATTTAATGCATCCTTGCTGAAAAAAAGTATTAATTCTCGCTGACCCCAAACTTTTGAACAGCAGTGTACGGTTGTAGTTCTTTTCCAAGAAGAAATGTAGTCAATACAGGTTTGAAACAACATGACAATGAGTAAATAATGACAGAATTTTCATTTTTAGGTGAACTATCCCTTTAGTCCTGTGCCGAGGAAACGGTTGAAATGCTAAAATGCCCCCCTGTGGAGCTCATAACATCTGTGTTTCAGCAGACTCCAGTGTCAGGACTGATCGGTATGATGGTGGCAGGAGGCAGTATGGATTGTGTCATGCTCTGAGGGGTGTTTTACCTGAGGTGGGGGATTTGCAGCGATCCTCTGAGGTGGCTGAGCCCTCGTTAATGTCACAAAGCCCTGTAGAGAGAAGGAGAAACATGATTGTCACACTATGGAAAACGTGTAAAGTGTGCTAGTATCCGCTACCTTGTGTAAAAGTAGTCTAAGATGTATTTTAGACAGTACAATTGCCTATACTCTTTAGTGTGAGGTGCAGTGTGTAGCCTTTGCTCTGATCTCGGAGTTGAGAGGCAGATGGGCAGACAGGAGCTGAACCCAGCTGCTCTGATCAGCACTCTCCCTTGCGCATATCCGACAGATCCCAGCCCCCAGCTAAATATCACTCATTACCCCCGACACAAACACACACATACACACCAGATAATCTAACAAGCAATCCATTGCCAAGTCCCAGCAATCATCTCTTCCTTACTAGCATGTGTTTAGATGCAATTGTGCCATCCACCAGCAGGGGTCACACTGCTGTATTCCCTCACTGCACAGCTGCATGTCCTGCCAATGGTGTTGTTAAAAGGCTCACTGTGTTCATATATATGTGCTCTGTCTATTACAGATGAAAACCATGTTTGTGTGCATATCAGACCTCCAGAAGGCTGTCGGCTCTTGCGGGGAGATCGCAGTTGTCTCTGATACGGATCATTAGAGCTGTACAATTCCACAGTTCCCAGATTCAACAGAACAGTCTTCTGTAAGTAATCCACTACTGCCAGACCATTGCTATTGCCAAACACCACCCTATGTTACACACAAACATAAAAGACAGCAAGTGCTTTTGTCATCAAAGTGTTGTGGGTTTAGTGCTGGTATAGTGATTATTTAATCAAATTAATATAATTTACGCACACAATCATTTATCATTTATACACACATTCAAACGTTTGATGCATTAAAGGATGCATTAAAATGATCAAAAGTGACAGTAAAGCCATTTTATTCTATCCACTTATTCTATATTACTTTCTATTTTGAATTCTGTTCTTCAAAGTGAATCCTGGGGGGGGAAATGGTTTATACTGGTATGGGAATACTTTAATAATAAGAAAAAATTGTACGAGTGCCAAATCAGCATATTAGAATGATTTATGAAGAATCATGTGACACTGAAAATTGGAGTAACAGTGATGCTGAAAATTCAGCATTACACCAATAAATTTTTTTTTAAAGGTATTTTTAATTGTAATACTATTTCACATTATTATTGTTTAACTGTATTTTTGATCAAATAAATGCACCGATGGTAAGCATTAGTGACTTCCTTCAAAAGCGTTACAAAATACAGACCCCAAACTTTGAAGGATTGTGTATGCCAAGTTTTAAAAAGCCTTATGATAATTTTGTGTGAGGAACAAACCAACATAGTTCATTGAAAATCTTGATATATATTTAAATTTATGTTAATATTTTAAAATATTTTAATATAATAAAAGAACAAAGCAAATATTGTCCTTTCATAAACATTTATGACAGTCTGCAGCATTTGCTGAGCCACCTCATGAAACAATGTAAAACAAGTCTTCAAATCTTCAGGTAACTCACAAGCCATAGCTGGAGTTGATGGTCAAGCTGCTGATCTGCTGGGGCGGCTCTCCACTGACCCACACCAGCTGTACCACCAGCTCCACCTGATACCCTGGAGACTGCTTCAGAGGACTGCTGCGCACCCTGAGGGAATGACAGAGAGAGGACATGGGTTATACACAGTCCATGCCAAAAAAAAATTTACAACATTTACTCTATAATATCATATATTACATACTGAGGATGGGCATGAGTACCCAAGCACTTGAAAGTGTCATGTTTAATCACAAAAACTAGCAAAATCTAGTAACAGCTATACAAAGATGTGCCAAAAAGGGGCCTCACAGTGCAACTTTGTTGTCTGATTTGTCAGACAACAATTTGCGTCAATACTGTGAACACTAACTTTCAGTCAGTGGCAACTACATCCCTCAACGCTCTCTTTGGAAACAGCCAGACAGGGCGCAGCTGAATGGAACAGAACACAGAAGTCCTGAAAAGTGTTTGTAAAAGCTGAACTATTTTTAACTTGACACTTAAATTTGGTGCATATTATCTGTTGGGTTCTCACAAATCAAATAAACTGATCATGTGAACTCCTTTGTAAAGACAGATGTTTTCAATCCAGTGAAACACAAGATGCTCTTTGGATCATTTTCAAATCATGCTGGATCACCTGGTCATTAGGTTTAACACAAATTAGTGGAGTTAATATGGGCTGAATGCTGCTGTCAAAGCAAATGGGCAACATACCAAATACTAAAAATACAAAAAAATAAGCCTTTTTTTAATTTTGTAATCAAAATGTTCCACCGATAATATCATTTGCATTGAAAAAAATGTCTAAATTAAATTTAATTAAAATAGAGGCATTAACACGAGTAGCCTTGGACTTTTGGATTCCCTGCTATGTGTATTAAAATACAGAATTACTTGAGGCAGGGTATGTTGTCTCGGATCCCATCTGATGAGTTGCTTCTAGTGGAAGTGTGTGTCTGAGGGGTGGCGGTTTGTGGACTGGGGGAGGTGCTTGGTGTGGGAGGAGCTGGTGTCTGATCTCCTCCTCCTTCTGGAGACTCCAGATCATTCAGCTCATACTGTAACCTGACCTCCAATAACTGTAAAACACACACACATGTACACATGTAATTGACACTATTGTGCTTGAGAACAGATGGGTATGAATCAGCTAAACACACTGAGTTAATTGATCCCCATCGGTGTCGCTATTCTTAATATGAGACACGCTAATTGCTGTGCGTGTCTCTTCCAAGTGAGTGTGAGAGTCACGGGACTGAAGGTGCTAATAGGTTTAATTTGCCCTCATTATACAGAAGTGTGAACGTTCTGTCAGCAGACGATGGTAACACTAATGGTTTTCCCACATTTGCGCTGAGCATGCGCCTCTGTTAACCAACGAGATTCATTCCTGTGCCTGAAATTCACGCGTCTCCAATATGACTGTATTCAAACATTTTATTCATTATTATCCTGTTTATATGAGTCATGTATTAATATGTAAATAAGTTGCATTGATTAAGCTTTAATAAAGCACTATTGCTTAATTGCTTCAGTCTACCACATTATATATTTTCCCACAATAAATCATATGGAAATTCTAATTATTCACGGATATATTTTCTAACAGCATTACCATAAGCGCTCATTTATTTATGGGTCACGGAAGCATCAGTACACAAATGTACAGCTTGCAAAAAACAGGGAGAGGGCAAAATGAATTCAGTATTAATTATTCAAGCTCAATATACAGCTAGATGTGGTGAACATTAATTAAAACGGCTTTGAAAGGCTTAGGGATTTAGTTAAGCATCTGAGTAACAACTGTTCCTCGGATATCCTTAGTTGGCTCTGTAGACGGCACATACACGTACAAATGCACAAACACATTCAAGTTACTGAACAACATCCATTTAATGAACAGATTTTATATTATTATTAATGTTATGAGTCATGGCAGTTGTCAGGAAACTAAAATAACTCGAGACGGGGAATAAGAGAGACTGAGAGTGTCTATAAGGGCAGCATTACTCATTACACTCCAGAAAACAAAGTATTTTTTAAGTCAAGAGCACCTCAATTAAAAAAAAATCTTACATAATTCTTACAAAATAATTCTAACATTAAAAAGTATAAACAACAAATTGTTACCTGCACAACCTCTGTGGTGATTTCTTGTTTGCTGAACCTGTATATGATGACATGGGCAGAGACACCAGCCACACAAAGCATGCGGCTCTCGGGACACCAAGACATCAACTGAATGGCGAATGGGTCCTCATCCACAATCTCTGTGCTGGGTTTCTCCTCCTTACAGCGTGCCTTCTCAAACACCTTAGCTGTCTTCAGCTTGTACAGCACGTGGAGCATTACTGAACACATGGTAAATGGAATTCAAAGGAAAAAGTAAGAGATAATTGTAGTCAACCAGTCATTAACACAAAATTAGATTTCCCCTTCAGGAACTCGAGCTGTGTCAAAACGCTACGGGAACGCCTTCAGCGGGACCACACTCTGAATCACGTTTAATCAGTCCAATGGATGGGCGAGACGTCATGACCAGGAAGCTTAAAAGCATGTGCGGTGGAACCGGTGTCAGCTTTCTGTCATTCAGCAAGCGCTCTGTGTGTGTGTCAGTCGCTATCTGTTTGTGAGTTTTATTTAGTGTTGTTTGTCCACTTGTAAGCTCCATTATGTAAAAGCTTCAGTCAAGAGAAGCTTTTGGGCGAGAGCAGGTAGCGTTCAGGCTGTGTTCCTCCCTGCCCGCGCTATATTCGGGTAGGAACACACACAGTTTGTGTGATGTCTGCTTGGGAGCGAAGCACGCAGAGTCAGCTCTCGAGGGAGCCGACTGCCTTGCTTCGCTCTCAGAAGGCTCTCTTTGAGGAGGGAGCCTTCACTAGCGTTTCCCGTGGTGCTGGTCCCGCTTTCGCCGAGGTGGAGCGGCGGCTGTGCTCATGGGTTTCGCATATGGATCCGGTGGAGGGAATGTAGACGGGCGCGTCCCTATCTACTTCCTTAATTCGCATATGGATCCGGTGGAGGGAATGTAGACGGGCGGGTCCCTATCTTCTTCCTCAACCACCAGATCCGGCGCCCGCTCTCGGGGTTTCGGAAGCCCTCGCTGTGGTCCTTCCTCCCGGGGAGAGGGCGCAACGCTCTGCCTGTCTTTCTCCGAGGAGATTGATACGGAGGGCATCGATGAGCTCGCCAGTTGCACAAGCATCAGTTACACAAGCATATTATGTCTAATATTATAATGAGCAGCATTAATGGGGAGCAGAGCTCGCGCAGTCGGCTCTCGGGGGGCTGATTGTGCTTTTCCCACTGTTAAGCACTCCACTCTCGCCGGGCACGCTCCAAGGAGTGTGTGTCCGTGCCTGTGATCTTGCGATTCTAGTCCCGCTGCTGCTGAGGCACGGCGGCGGCTGAGATCGCGGGGATCGTACATGATCTGGCGGACGGGTTGGAGACGGCTCTTCCTATCTCCACCCGCGTTCCCTAGATCTAGAGCTTGTTCTCGAGGCTCGGAAGCCCGCGCTGCGGTTTCTTCCCCCTCTGAGTGAGAGCTTGCTGCTGCAGCTACCTTTCTCTGAGGAGATTGATATTGTTTGTGTGACTGAGCGTATTACATCATTTTCGGTTTTTGATGTGAATCTTATCACACCAGACTGTGTTTACTCATCTGGTTGTTTGACTGCATTTAATTCTAAGGAATAAAATGAAGTATTTATCTGACTATGAGTAGTTAGATATTCGAGTGAGAGCACGTGTTTACCTCTCTTCCTCCGAGGAGGTTGAGGCGGTCAGCAGGGCTGCTGGGCGGGAGCAGTCCCAACCTACCGTGTTCCAGCTCCTCATTCTGGGGGCGTCACTTCTCGTACTCCGCAAAGTCTAGAGTCAGAGGGGCGCTCCTAGGCCGAAGGCTTCTAGCGGAAGTCGGTTCTGCGGACCGTCATTCTCGCTGGATAGTCTTTGTCTAAAACGTCCTGACGCCTAAGGCCTAGGACTTCTGAGGGCCAGCTCCCTCTGGGGAAGAGTGGTGTACATCGCATTACACGGTGTCCGTCTCTCTTCAGTGCCCTCAGGAGATCGGTCTGCCAACCCTGCCGGTGCTCCAGGGCACAGCGGTCTCCGGTGAGCACTTCTCTCAGTTACCGCCCAGAATCGTAGCGGTGCTAAGAGGCTCGCTACCTCTACGGAGGTCTCTAGAGCAGCTTGTACGGCCATCCCCTGCCGGTCCACCACTTCAGGGCACCGAGCTAGCCACTCTGGTTACACCAGAGGTCAGTCTCGAGAGACTGATTCCCTTAGTAGACTATTTGGCAGTGTGGGAACTACTGCCAAATATGTCTCAGTGGGTCCTGCACACTGCAGAGAGAGGCTACAGAATCCAGCGTGGTTCTCTTCCGCCTCAGTTCAACGGGGTGATTCCCACTCTGGTGGGGACCCGAGCAGGCTCTGGTAATGGAACAAGAAGTAAACACTCTCTTGAGGAAGGAGGCCATCAAGGTGGTCCCTCCTCTCGACAGAGAGTCCAGGTTCTACAGCCGGTACTTCATCGTTCCAGAAAAGGATGGAGGGTTGCGCTTCGAGAGGCCTCCTCTCGCTTTAGAGAGTCATTATGTTGAGCCTTTTTTCAGCGAGTGTCGTCAGGCCTCCTCTCGCTACAGAGGGTTTCTGAGGCCTCCGCTCGCCAGAGCTCCGCTAGGACAGTCTGAGCATAAGCTAGCGTGGGGTGTAGAGGCCTCTTCTCACTTTAGAGAGTCATTATGCTGAGGCCTCCACTCCTAGAGCTCGGCCCATCTCCATCCTTCCCCATCACAGGAACTTCCTGAGGTTGGCTTTCGGGGGCAAAAATCCTACCAATATCGGGTTCTTCCCTTTGGTCTTGCACTCTCACCCCGCACTTTCACGAAGTGTGTGGATGCTGCTCTGGCTCCTCTGTGACTCAAGGGCATCTGCATACTCAACCACATCTACGATTGGTTGATATTAGCTCAATCTGAGCAGAGGGCGGTTCGGCATTGAGATGTCATTCTCGCTCACATGAAAGAGCTGGGGTTAAGACTTAACGCCGAGAAAAGTGTGCTTTCTCCATTACAGAGAACCACTTATCTGGGCGTGGTGTGGAATGCGACCACGATGCAAGCACGTTTGTCCCCTGTTCGGATCGAGTCGATCCTCACTGCAGTCGCGAGAGTGAGAGAAGGCCTGTCACTCACTGTCAAGCAGTTCAAAAACTGCTGGGTCTGATGGCAGCTGCATCCAACGTGATATCTCTTGGCCTGCTGTACATGAGACCCCTACAGTGGTGGCTCAAGACCAAGGGGTTCTCCCCGAGGGGAAACCCGCTTTGCATGCTCAAGGTCAAGCAGCAATGCCTACATGCCTTAGACATGTGGAGGAAACCTTGGTTCTTGGCTCAGGGCTCGGTGCTGGGAGCTCCTTGTCGCCGCATAATGCTAGCGACGGACGCATCCCTCACGGTCATGAGTGGCCGCTCAGCCCACGGTCTGTGGAGCGGCCGCCATCTCACATGGCACTTCAACTGCCTGGAGATGCTGGCCGTGTTTCTAGCATTGAAACACTTTCTCCCAGACCTAAGAGGTCGCCATGTGTTGGTGCGCACCGACGACACAGCGGCAATCTCTTATATCAACCACCAGGGAGGTCTGCGTTCGTGCCCCCTTTACAGGCAGGTGCACCAGATCCTTGTGTGGTCTCAGGGCAAACTCCTCTCACTGAGAGCAGTTCACATTCCTGGGCTTTTCATTATGGAAGCAGACATCCAGTCGAGGCAGTGGCCGAGGCCCGAGGTACAAAGAGTTTTTGGCCAGGCTCAGGTAGACCTGTTCGTGACTCAAGAGACATTGCACTCTCCCTTCTGATACTCTCTGATTCATCCAGCTCCACGGGGGCTGGATGCCATGGTACAGACGTGGCCGAGGCTTCGTCTGTACGCCTTTCTGCTGTAGCCCCGCTCTGGCCGGGCCAAGTATGGTTCTTGGACCTGATTTCCTCTCCATGTGAGATTCCCGTCAGGAGGGACCTCCTCTCACAGGCGGAGGGCACGATATTCCACCCCCGCCCGGAGCTGTGGAAGTTACTCGTAGCTTCCGGTCTCTCAATCAAGGTTGTTGAGACCATCCTCAACACGAGGAAATGGTATGCCTTGAAGTGGAAATGTCCCCGCCTACTTTGTCAGGTGCCTACCTGCTTTCTGCGCCACTCCTGGCTCCGTTCTCTCGCTTTAGCTGAGCTCTTCCACACTAGGCAGGGATTTGTAAGTCTGGCGGCATGGGCATTCTCATTCCCGTAGCGTTTCAACGCAGCTCGAGTTCCTGAAGGGGAACGTCTCGGGTTACGCATGTAACCATGGTTCCCCTAAGGGAACGAGACGCTGCGTCTCAGTGCCATACTTCCGGCATCCCTGCGAGTGCTTGCTTCATTCCTAGAAGCTGACGCCGGTTCCACCGCACGTGCTTTTAAGCTTCCTGGTCGTTACGTCACCCCGCCCGTGACGTCTCGCCCATCCATTGGACTGATTACACATGGCGTGTGATTACACATTACAAGGCGTTCCCGTAGCGTTTCGACACAGCAACTCGTTCCCTTCAGGGAACCATGGTTACATGCATAACCCGAGACGATTTTTGTGATACTGTCATCTAACATCACAATAATGTTAAGAAAGTTAATCTTAAAAACATTAAATTGCTTTAAAAAACATTGTTAAAATGTAGTCTTATGCAAATCTCAAAATAAATATCCATTTTCATACTGTACACTATAATGTTGTGATGTCTAAATTCACCTGTGCCATTTAAAATTGATTTTACTTTTTGTGTGTTTTATTTTGCATTTATTTAATCAAACTAGCACTACATTTAAAAATGGCAATTTACTGTTGATCAGCCAAGAACAAGAAAATAATTACTGTCTTAATGGTTTCAGACAGAACTTTAATATTGATGCATCCTTATGTTGTATTAATTTGAAGAGGTTTATTTTGCATATTCATTTTGCATATTACCAGCTGACTGTACATTATCTGTTTTATTACACAACTACTTCTCATATCAATAAATGAATTAATAAATAAAGGACACAAACTAATTTGAACTTAAATTATTTTAGACATGAATCTAACACACTTTAACAGGAAATAGGTTGCTTTGGACAATAAAAAAGACCACAAAATGCTGTGAATAAACAAATCAGAATCTAGCATTCCAAAGAACAAAGTCATATAACTTCTAGATTTGTACAATTAATGTTTTAGAGGATTAAATGAATGATGGGAAGTGTTTCAATGGCATCAAATGCATAAATGTGTTTTGTCCAATTTTTGAGGGCCTCTAATCCACTGATTCCAATTGTTCAGTTCAGCCAAAGCAAAAAAATATTAAATGGCATAAGATTAGCCACTCTGTCTTAGCAGGATTAAAAAGTCCTGTCTAATTAGCTTTATATTTCATTGGTGAACAAAATGAGGCCCACTTTGGTTTTAAATTATCTTACCACTAAGAAAACCCATTTGAATGTTAAACAAGCACTTGTGTGAGGGGTTTACAACCTTTGTGGTATTTTTAATATTGCAATATGTCCTTTAGCACCGACAGGAGGTACAGGAACAGTGGAAACTGTAGTCTGTCAAGCTCACAGTTTAAGCAAGGTCAAATGGCATACAGGTAACACTCTCACCACGCTGGTCTCTCTCAGCGGTGCACAAGGTCAGAAAAAGCCTGTGGGATCTGGGGAATTTTTTGTGTGTGACATTATAAGGTCAGTCTCCAGTTGGGTCATAAATCATGTAAAATTATTATGTCTGAAGTCAAGTTATACTCCAACAGTGGTCAGCAGAATCCAGTTATTAATTAGATATTTAAGAGTGTTAGTCAAATGTGATTGTAACTGTAGCCAAAGTCCCTTTCAAAGAAAATCAGTTCAACTGATTTGTAATGCCTCCGGGCAGCAATTTCAGGCATGCAACACCAACTCTACTTGAATGGGGAATATCATAATCTCAAAAAACTGCTTTACCAAACTCACATTTAAATAACGTATTTCAAAATAGCAATAACATCTGACATAAACTGACCCATAAATGCTGTTCTCAAATTGCTCACATTGAGTGAAAAAAAGCATGTATTTTGGGTTGGTAAAGCCAATGGGCATGTGCAGTCAGTAAACTGACTCTTTCCATAGGCACCAGAGCTTACTAATTCCGCTATGTTGAGTGTTGCACTTGCCATTCACAGTAATATGATTAAACCACTTTGGTCTACAGTGTTTGCTGTCACCAAACTAGCAGTGCATGTCACTAGCAATACCAAGGTCATGGGTTCATGTCCGAAGGATGACAAAAATCTGATATAAAACTTTTGTTTTTAGATAAATGTGTCTGTCGAATTCAATATGAAATTCAAATGTGTTTGAAGCAAGTTTATGAGATTTGAAAAACTATTATACCGCACACATTGTGGTAAATAGAACTATTATACCGCACACAAGTCGTAAATAAGGTGAATGTGAAGTCAGAAAGGCTCGGTACTCACTTGCTGAAGCATCCCAGAACTTCACTGAACCATCTGCATGCCTGCAAGAAGAGCAGAGAATCTTTTATTTTAACTGTCTCATACATTTTCATACACAAACCTACATAAACTCACTGCCACTTTCCCAATACCACATGTACTCAAACAAACCACAGAGGTAAGCTAAGTTGCTATGTCAGATAAAAGCTAGTCAAGAGATGAGAGGAAGTGCTCTTCCCACTGCTGTCAAACCCACTAAAAAAGCTTCTGTCATCCCATGGGCGGTACATCAGAAAATGCGTACTTTTTTGTCATACTTCCCTTTCGCTACCATCTTGTCCTGCTCATTACCCTCTCTTCTGCACTCCTCCTCCCTCTTCTTATACCCTGCCTTCTTCTTTTACTCCATTTAAGTCTTTTTTTGCCATTTCTGCCATTTCAGCAGAACTACGAATGGCAAGAGAGAACAGAGCATACACACACATTCACTCGCTCACACACAAGCGCACACTGCTCTTACCCAGTTATTATTATTTCAGGGTAGCTTTGTGTGCCCAAGCCCCAGTTTCCGCCACTGATAGGCCATTCCTGTGATGAACAACAGAACCACATAAAAGCACTTAAATCCACGAAAGCAAACCACATAAATCCGACATTTCTCGACATATGAGAATAGAGGAAATTTAGTAGATATTGCCCTAAAGCATGTGAGCATTCCTGGGAAACTTAATAAAACGAAATCGGCCAATTTGTAAGTTTTAGTAAGCATACTCTTAATATAATGACTGTGGCTTGCACTGGCAGCCACAAAACATTTCTGCAACGTGGGTGGAACCTTTATTAAACGACTGGCGAGACTCTATAGGAAAGCATTTCCTCACAAGGCGTGGAAGCTGAAGCAGTTTATTCAAAGCTATTCAGAAGTGCTGTGATTCAAAGTGGGCCGTCTGAGTTAACCTGCTCCCTGTGGGAGACAGACCCAGAACTTACACTCCGCACTCCAGTCTTGGCTGAGAGGTCTTGATTTCTTTCATACCCATAAATACCCCTGTCTGTGTCTCTGACCCACACAGTCTGATGACACAATGTGCTGCAGGGCGGGGGCCTGAAGTCACGCAGGCATAGGGAAACGGCACGATTCACAAGGGACTGTAATCTAGTCACTCAAAAGCCAAGGTGCATGTGTGTAGGCAGGACGTTATAACTTAAAAGACATAATTAACCGATTAGCACCTTTAAATGAGTGTGTGCATGCTGTTGTACCTTTTTGCTGTAGCCCTGTCGTTTCTGGCGAGACCCGACAGAGTAAAGTGCAGGTATGAGGTCCACAGGACAATCGGCTAAGTACTCACAACACGTCACAGGAGACTCATGAATCATCATGGGATAAGGATTTTCAAAGATAGGGTAACTGAAAAACATCAGAGGTCAAAAAAATAAGATTGACACTGTGGTGGAAAAGTGTGATAGCATCAAACATGTTAGACACAAATACGACGCAAATGCTGTGGGTGATAAGTACCCGTTTTGTGCAAGGTCAATAACAACTAAATCCTTTTCGAGGAGGACCACTACAGCATATGGTTCCTGAAAATCTGCAGAGAAATGAAAACAGGATGGGTAAAATCATGAATAAATCGCTACATATTTGAGTTTTTTATATATATATATATATATATATATGTATATATATATATATGCACATATTTTTACAAATACCATTTACGACTACTTATTTTTTTTTTAAGAAATTAATACTTTTAATTGGCAAAGGGAAATTAAATTGACCAAAAGTGACAGTAAAGACATTTATGTTACCAAAAATTTATATTTCAAATAAATGCTGCTCTTTTGAATTTTCTATTTACCAAAGAATCCTAAAAAAAAAAAAGTATCAGTTTCCTCAGAAATATTAAGCTGCAACAGTTACAATCAACAGTTTTCAACATTGATAAATAATAAGATATGTTTCTTTAGCATCAAATCAGCATACTAGACTGATTTCTGAAGGATCACGTGATAATGAAGCCTGGAGTAAAATGTAGCTTTTACATCACAGGAATAAATTGCAAATTAAAATATAATAAAATAGAAAAGAGTTATTTCAAAATTATAATGCTATTTCACAGTACTGTTTTTCATCAAATAAATGCAGCCTTGGTGAAAATAGGACTTGGTAGTATATGAACATGAGAGATGCAAATGGCACCAGTTCTGGCACGAACACTTATTATAAAGTATGTATCATATTTAAGTGGCCTGATATGTTATGACTAGAGACGTCACTGCACAAGTTTGAACCTCCTAAATGTCTCAATAATGAGTCAGAACCAAAGACGTCTCACTTCAAATATAACTTAATCAACATACAGAACCAGGCACTGTTATGCAAGCAGCACTGTAAACACTCTTCCCATTCCTTCCGCATTCTTTGCTGCCTCTCAGTTTGGCTTAATGCAAACTCTAAACAAAACGGTTAAGCATTTAATGCAAATATATGAACACAGCTTTGTTTAGGCAAAAACAACTGCATGATTATCTGTAAAAGCAAGGTGAATCACAAGAAAGAAATCTTGTTTTTAATCCAGCACCATGCACAAGCTAAAAGTATGTGATATGTTATGTAAGGGATAAAGTACAGTCAGCTTGTCATTACCTCAAAATAAACCCCAACACAAATCATGGTGACTAAAATATCGATTCGAGTTGAACTTAATTTATCTTACTCAGCTTTTCACTAAGAAAAAAGTCCATAACATAGAAAACAAGTTTAAAAGAACAGCATTTATGTGAAATAGAAATCTTACAACATTATCAGTATGCTTATTGTCACTTCTTTATTTTAAATGTTATGCATACTTGCATAATAAATGTATTAATTTCTTTCAAAAAAGAAAAAGAAAAAAAAGACCCCAAACTCTTGAACAGTCTTGAACAACTCACGTTTTCCTCTCTTTCGTCTTTATATCAGTAATACTCAAAAGCAATGCTGAAATTTAGCTCAACAGACATTTTAGGGAAAACAAAAATCAGAGTCTGGCCAATAGGAGCATCAAGTATTTCAAAGAGCCCATAATAAGTATACAGGTGCATCTCAATAAATTAGAATGTCGTGGAAAAGTTCATTTATTTCAGTAATTCAACTCAAATATGTTCTCTTTTTCACAGCAAATTATTGACAGACTATTAACAAACTAAAGTCCTATCAGCCTTTGCTACAGCTGCATGCAGAGAGAAAAGAAAACACTTACTATTCATAAATAGCCACCAAAGTGATAAATTATTCAAATGGGTACGGCAATAATAAACGAATGCAGTCAAGACCTGGATGTTATGAATAGAGGGAGCTTTAAAAAAAAGTTATGTAAAATGTAATTACTAGGCAGCAGTTCCACTGGGACAGCTCAAGCTCATCTACAAAGAACATGAAAGAATAGAACAACCCAACAAAACAAAGGTTCAAATGTCAGCAAAAAATGAAAAGAGAGGAAGTGGTATGAGATAAAAAAGACTGAGCACTTATTGCAACAATATTGGACAGAGCAGGTGCTGTTAATGAGTAAATCGACCTACATACCATTAGGATATGGCGTTTCACACAGGGTGAGGAAATCTACAATGGGATAATCCATCTCCAATACTGCCGTGCTCTTTCCATGCATTACTGTCAAGCATGGTCGTCGACCAACAGTGTCATACGACAAACCACCAGAGAAGATCATAAACGGATCCCTGTTCGGAACACAAACATATACCGTACAGTGAGTTTCAAAAGTTGGAGAGTTTGTGCTTGTATTTTTCTCAAATTATATTATTTGCATAACAATCTGAGTGAGAAGCTGAAATTAATGTCTTTTAGAATGCCTTTTCCTTTAACAGTTAAAGTTTGTTTATTTGGTTGTGACCTAGAAATCCTGCAGAATATTAAGTACTTGTTATTTATTTTACATTGTAACTTTTTGCTTACTTCCAGGTTTAAATGAGCTTGAAATAAATTTTTTATTCCATATTTCAATGTGGTCTCAGACTGTTGGACTCCACATTTATTTAAAAACAACATTTCGCTAGAAAAGTTTAACTTATGAACACAATGCTGGTTTAGCAGCTTGACCAGCAAAAACCAGCCTGGACCACCATTCATGATGGTCTAAGATGGTCAGGAAAAACAAAAATGTATTGCTGCATATGTGCACTTACCCTGCTCGTGTGGTCTTGTACTCTACTTTAAGAATGGGTTTGCAAGGCTCTGGCTTTTTTCCATCTTTAGGCTGCTTTCCTGAAACAGAATCAGACTCATTCAGAGCGTTTCCTAACCTCTTTTTCTGGCTCTGTCCCAAACAGTACACTTGGTGTGGACTTGCTAAAGACCCCATTAAATCATCTGACGAGCGTGAAGCCATTCACATATTTCAGATTGAAACAGGAAGTTATCAAAGGGCTGGTCTTTGTTTTTTTCTGTTTTAGCAAACAGGGGGTTTCATATCCAATAGAGTAAAGCCACAAAACTTCCTGTACATTTTCAAAACTTAAAAGACTGAAGTTGTCATTTGGCATTTTAGGAGGAGACTTTACAGCCAACAGTCTATCAAGAATTATGTCACCAAAGAGTAGACAGCTGCAGAGGCTGAGGGTGTCATTTGGAAAAGAGCCTCTCTCTCCCACAGACAGGAAGTACTTTCATAACAAACAGAAATGTTCACTATGAAACATACCAATTTATGTAATTTTCTTCTCCTCCAAAGCAGTTTGTTGAACGACAATCCTTAAAATGGTAACTGTCCCAAAAAAGCTTTGAACTGAAAAGGGTGATTCCAGGATTTCGGTCTTTAGTTGGGCTCAGAAGAATATTTTTGCCTTATGAGCAAATAGCTCAAATACTGCATTTAAATTTAAAGAATTGCGCTGCTATTTATATATTTAAATACACATAAATTAAAATAAGAAAAACTGCATCTGCTTGAAAGAGAAAAATGGAACAGATTAGTCTAAGATTTTTAATATGGCTAAGATAAAAGTCAGCGGGGCTAATTCCTTCCTAAACAGGGCCTACTAATGCCTATGGATTGAAAATACCAAAATTCTGACAATATTTTATGGCTTTTCCCAATTAGTTTCTAAATCTGGCTGTCTGGTGTTCTCCTCTCATGGAGGCATGGTGAGGCTGAAGGGGTTCTTGAATCAAGAGCGGACCGTAGTGGAGTATCTTCAATAGAGCAGGCAAGGACGTGCACCAAAAGGAAGCGCATGACCTCACCTCACTTATCAGACCACAACACAGACAGTCTCCATGGAGGAGCAAAATTAAAATGAAAATTAAAGCTTCACTTGAAATGGAAATCAGGGAAGAGGAGGTGATTGTTTTTAAGCTTCTTTGTGAAGGTGGAGGAGAAAAAATCAAATTACAACCCTGAATTAACAAGTCTTTGAGAGAGGTGTGATACAACCTTGTGAAATAGACATAAGAGCAATTAATTTTGCAACCCTTATCCTGACAAAAAATGAATTTGAAGAAAATGAGTTTGTGTGTTTGAGCCAGAAAAAGAGAAAGATCACTAACCGTGTGGAGTGATTGTCTGTGCGGGCTTGGCTTGGGACTTTATATTCCATATGGTCAGGGTGCCGTCTGAGTGACTACAGATAAACTGCTTCCCCTCGTGGTGCCAGGCCACAGAATGGATCGCCTGTGAGTGAGAATGACAGTTCAAGACAGGAAAAAGAGCAGGAAACAAAGGTTAGCAATGCTTGCATGGGGAGAGGCAACTCAATGGGAGATTTCCTAATAGTAACTCACACCGGTAATGCCCAAGAACATGACCCAGGGGTATACGTCGGGCCTACCCAGGTTGAATCAAGAGGCACGCTGGGATAAGTGATATAAAGAAAGACTGTCTTTCTGGTGTTGAGCATCAATACAATTGCTACAAATAGTAGTACAGTAGTATGAAGCTAGTAGTAGGTCTGTTACACACATTCTGCATCTGTAGCTTCAGTGCAACAACAACAGTAGGATTGCAGCATGCTTTTTAGACTGTCAGTGTTTTTGCTGCGGCTCTATCCAGAAAACATGAGGAGGGGAGTCACGTTTACATCCAAGTGTTATTTCATTTTTTAAAAGTAGCTGATTTTAAAATAATGTTGCTAAGCTATTTTAGTGATTAAGTAGAGTTGATCAAATCTACAATGTTACATTTCCCCTGGCAATATTTCTGGAATCACATAATGTGTCTGATATTTTCTGCCAGCTATTTACAATCAGAACGATTTTTTTTTTTTTAATAGAACAGTCCTTAGCTTAGCTAGCTAAATTATTTAATAACTTTCATATACACTACCAATCTAAAGGCTGGGGTCGGCAATGTTTTTTTTTTTTTTTAAGTCAAGGTTACATTTATTTGATTACAAATTAAGTAAAAACAGTAATATTGTGAAATATTATTACAATTTACTTTTTTTCTATTTTGATGTTTATTATTGATATTTTATTGATTTGTGATGGCAAAGCTGAACTTGTAGCAGCCATTCCTCCAGGCTTCAGTGTCACGTGATCCTTCAGAAATCATAGTATTCTAATTTAGTGCTCAAAAACACTTCATATCATTATCAATGTTGAAAATAGTTGTGAGGCTTAATATTTTTGTGATATTTTGAATTTTTCAGGATTTCTTGATGAATAGAAAGTTTAAAAGAACATCATTTATTTAAAAATTTGGAACATGCTGTATATATTGGAACATAACATACTGGAACGTATGTTAACCTTCCCATAATTCCTTTGTTGCACATCAGCAGCTTTGTTTCTTTATATAGCTTAGTTTTGTACTGTTGTTGTATTGACTGAAGGCTTTGGCAATACTATGGGGAAAACAGTCAGGCCAATATAGCACAATGAATGGAACAGAATTGAATCAAGGGGAAGAGAAAGAGAGAGTGCACAGCATGAGACTGATGTATCGAGAGAAAAGGGAGCCAGTGAAAGCACAAAGAAGGCTGAAAGAGAGTTCTCATTATTTTCTAATTAAGCGCAGTCTCCTCTTGTGCAGCCACAACCCGCCTCTTCAGTCCAAAAATATTGCTGCCACTGCCCTCACACACACAAAACACATCATTCCTGCAGTGAACATCAAGCCATCCGGAACAAGGTCAGCTGGCCATCTTCTCCAAAAATGACTACTGTTACAGCAAGTGCTTGTTATCAATATTACTGTTGCTCATATTGACAGTTAGGGAATTGAACAATCCATTTTGTTCCAATCCACTATCACTTTTCAAAGTGATTGAAAATAAAATGGTCAGGAAAAAAATTCTCATACACTGAGGAAGCAACCTGAGCCATAACTAGAAACCAGAATATCTCTTTTGACTTGGGACAGTAAGCAATACCCTAGCAACAACTCTAATCACCCTAGCAACCACACAGCAATGACATCACAAAAAATATATAACATACATGAAATTACCCTGCACTTATAACAAACATGAAATTACCCGCAGCAGACGGTGCTGATAGCTTAGCAAGCAGCACACCGACATATAATGCTGTTACGTTACGGGCGTCCAGAGTTTGAATCCCGGCTCGAGGACCTTTCCTGATCCTGCCCCCTCTCTTTCTCCCACTTCACTTCTTGCCTGCTCTACACTGTCCTATCTTTATAAAGACAAAAAAAATGGCCAAAAAAATTACCTTTAGGAGATCTATACAGGTGGAGCTGGGGAAGGTGAAGGGTTTCTGCAAGCACTCTGCAAACTGCTACAGAAAACACTGGTCAAGTATTTGAATATTAAGCAGCAAGCTCATTGGCTGCTGATGCAACAGAAACCAATCAGCTGCACAATGTAGGTATATGTGATTACTGGCAGATTGGGTTGAGGCCAATCTAGATCTGTTTTTATGACAGAACTTTGTATAGATGCAAGGAAAAATTTAGTTTATTATTTATATCTCACTCTATATCTCACACAAAAATTATTAAATGAAAGAGAAGGAGAGGGGAAAGGAAGATGGAGAAAGCAAGATTATTAAAATCTCTATTAAACAGAAACTGCTTGTCCATACAGTACGCCCTTTATGCTACTTGCACTGATCCTTTCCTTATCCTTATTTCAGAATTTCCATCCATCTATAACAGCATAGCTCCTTACCGCCTCAGTGCTAATTCTGCTGCTCATTGCACCTCAGTGACCCCTTCAGCACTAATAGCTTTCCATGATCTGATATGATGTTAATTCTGCTGTCTATTGCACTTCTGTGACCCCTTCAAAGATAAAAAAGTTCCCAGGCAACATCTGCATAACTAAAGACAGTCTGATCAACCTGTCTGAGCCTTTTCCTGGTCTCTCCTTCATAATTATAAACAGTAAGGCACTATGGGGGGTCTGATGGACAATAGGGTTTCATGGTACGAGCGCAACTCTGTGCTGAGCCAGAGTGACACCTTGCTACCCCTACGGAGCAGTGAATTGTAGGACATTTATCTCTGCTGTACTAATCAATCAAGTTAAATGAAGGCAGGAATAAATCAGACATCCAGCCAGGCACAGTCATTCATCAGGGTACAGATGAGTTGTCCTCTGAGAAATTAACTCTCATGCTCACACACAACACACGTATATGCTAACACACCAATGGGGGAGTTACAATAAGAGATGGGTTTGACGTGCATGTGTGTGTGTGCTTGCATGTCTGGGGGAAAAAAGTGTGTGACGGTTTTAATTCTTTTGCACTTTGCTTTGGGCACATCATGCTCATCATAATAACTAATGTACGCTGGCTGCCACTGTTAACAAAAGCCATCGAACCAGCTTAAACTGGAGAGGCAGATTAACTGTACGTTCTATGGGGGCTTTTCAGATACATGCTAATCATTTCAAGGACATTCAGACAAAAAAAAATATTTCTGGAAAAAAAATAAAAAAATAACATTTAACATTTAAGCTGAAATTAAATGTTCAAAACCAATTCAAGAGATATTGGGCCACTTTATTTTACCCTCTAACTCTAGCACTTTCTATTCTATTTTAATTCTACTTTATCTACATTTATCTTCTTTTTTTTTCTATTCTATCTACTTGTTTTTCTTTGTGCAAATAAAATAAATCCACTTTTCGGGAAATTATTACTGTAATGTAGTTTATTTGTAAAAGGAAACTTTCACTCAGCAATGATGCTTTTAATTGATCAAGAGAGACATTACATTTGTAAAAATGTATAATGTTACAAAATAATTATATTTAAAATAAATGTTCTTTTGAACTTTCTATTCATCATGGAATTCTGGGGAAAACATACACACACACACACACATAGAAATATTAAGTAGCAAAACTGTTTTCAACATTGATAATAACATGAAATATTTCATGAGCAATCAGCATATAAGAATGATTTCTGTCTTTTGACACTGAAATCCAGTTTTGCCATCCCAGGAATAAATTACACTTTTTAATCTATTTACATAGAAAACAGTTATTTTAAACTGTACTTATATTTTACAATATTACTGTATTGTTGTATTATTGATCAAATAAATGCAGCCTTGATGAGCATTGAGGAGTTCTGAACCAAAATTTTGAATGGTAGTGTGCTTGTTTTAAACAAGAAATTAATTTATTAATAACTACTCCATGTTAACTACTTTTTAAATATATTTTAAATTGTTAATTTGTCTTAATTATTGGATAATTATTACATTAAAAAGTCTTTGAGAAAATTATAATATTTAAAGAAGTTTGTTTTCAATCAATCAATTAATCAATAAATTATGTTGTGTAAATTAATGGCTTTAAGAACAACACCCGGTAAGAACAGTAGACTGGACAAACATGCAAACTGTAATCCTCCTATAGCTATAGTGCTCACTTTGCTGTTCAGTAAATAAGTTGGGGGAACATGTTGTAACCTAATTAATATTAATGAGTCATGAGTTGTCCCTCTACTTTTCAGAACATTCCTGAAGACACCAATGTGAATGAATGATTGAGAATAGGAAGAACTTAGCATCCAAAGTGCACACTGCCACTTATGCTTCTCAAATACCAATGTTCCTTTGATGCTGTAGAACCAAGCTGAACAGACTATGTGCCTACTTAGAGATCTAATCAGCGTCCTTTATTAAAATCAAAACATCTCATGAATATTTGTGCAACGCATTTCCATATTCTATGCATTTGTTCCACTGCAGGCGACAGGAGCCTGGAATACAACATTGTGTGACAATACATACCTCATCATAAGTGTACCGGTAGTCAGCTCTCTTTGATTTCAAATCCCACAGCACTACGATCCCAGACTCAAATCCTATTATGAGCTGAAAGAAGAAGAAAGATGTGGGGGGAACAAGAAAGGAAGGAAAATATGCTGTGAGTCTGTTGAACCTGACCTGTAAACTGATGAGAGTTCATGGAGGTGGTGACGTAAATCTGAAAGTAAATGATGTGTTTCATCAAATAAAACATTAAATATCTGTCTGAGAAAATTCAAGTACTTTTTTCTGATTGTTAATCCAAAACAAACCTTTCTTCATTCTCCAACAAAATCAATGAATCAGACAAAACATTCTGCTCAAAACATGGAAGAAATGTGCAAGTTGTTATCACCATAATCCAACTCTACATTTATTATGAAAGAAATGGCTCACCAGAAAATGAAAACGCTATCATTTACTCACCCTCATGTCACTTCAAACCTGTCTTTTTCTGTGAATTTTCTTCCTTTCAGACTTAAATTTTATCCTGTACTGCACAAAGTTACTGTATGACTTTTAAGATGCTTTAAGGTGCTTTTTTAAGCTCTATAACTTCAGTCCCGAGTTGTAAATGCATGAGAATGAGTGGTCAGGAAATTCATCAAAATATCTTTTAAAAATTACATGTTTCCTGTCATCTGAGCTCAAAACCTCTTTGTTTTTAAAGATTCAGTGATAGTCTATGAATTGATAAAGTGTCAGTTCTGTCAGCCAAGAGGGAGGGACAATGTGTCTAAGGACTTTAAGACCCATTAAGAACTGAGTGGACCTGTTATGGATCGATGCCCCATTCAGGGGCAGAAGTGGGAAGGGAGAGAGAGAGTGGATCATCACTGTAAAGGCGCCTATGAGGAGCTCCCAGCTGCCAGAGAAAGAGACAGACAGTTTTGGGGCAAAACCCCAGCAGGTGTGCACCGGTCTCTCTGCTCCCTTCTGACTGTGCGCTGGCAATTAGCAAAGGTAAAATGAATGTCTAAAAAGATGTATTTGGAAGTAGCTGGAGCATTTGTTCATCTCTTCATATCTCCTAGATCATTTGTTTTCAAAAACAACATAATTTGCTAACAAGTTGTGTGAGATTAGACCCAATTACTGAACTGTGCTGCACTGTAGGAAAGAAATGTCTTATGAGTTCAGAATGGAAAAAAACAAGAGCTTTGTGTGAAGTAAGGGAAATGAATTATTCATGTCAGGAAGTGTTAATTTGTTTTCATGTAGTTGTGTAGGCATCGCCTTACCTTGCCCTCATCCATAGGATTGTCACTAATGTGAACGACTGGGCCGGGATGGGCCTTGGAGGACCTGTGAAAGAAAGACAGGTTTGGGATTGGTGTTAGGCGAGGGACAGGATCGAGGATAATGAGAAATACAGTATGAAGACAGTGAGGAAAGGATCCTTGTGGATGTGTGTGTTTGACTGTGTGAGACAGAGAGAGACTACTGTTTAAAAGTTTGGGGTTGGTAAGATTTTTTTTAAAAGAAGTCTCAACAAGGCTGCATTTATTTGATCAAAAATACAGTAAAACCAGTAATATTGTGAAATATTATATTTTAAATATTATATTTTAATTAATAATAAAAAAAAGACTTCCAACTTTTGAATTGTAGTGCATGTTGTAATTTATGTGGTGTGTTTATGAAAGTGATGAGTATGTTTCCCAGCATGCACCAGTTCAATTGGATAGTTCGGTATGCCATACAACTCATAACGAAAAACAAAGATTGTCATACAGATCCATTATCAAATATTTCCAAAATGAATAACTATATATATAATAAATCATTTAATATTAATCTCTATTGGACGACAATTCCTTTCAACACACACCAACACTCAAATACATACACACTTATACATTCCTAATACACAAACATCCCACAGATAACATAACACCCAAACATACTTAATGAAACAATAAAACATCTATCAGAGCAAATAAAACCATGATATATTCAATCTAGAGAGTTTTTCCCTCAAAAAGTTTGATGGCATGAGTTTAGATACGAAGTCCAGCACTGGCTGGGACCATTGAGATTTATTACCACTAAAACAGGATTTTTCTCATAAAAATATCTTCTTTAACAATACATTACAAAATCCAAGAGTGGGGTTCTTGCCATGCATAGCTGCTCAAAATGAAAGGGTTTTACATAATGCATCGAATAATTCATGACAGGCTCCTATAGAGGCATCTTATATTTGATGTTGTCCAACTGAAACCAACCTAATCTGAATTTTTCCATCCAGATACTTACTCCATTAGGCTTTTGAAATATGAAATGTATAAGTCTCCACTGACATTCAGACAGTCAGTTTCAACCTCAAGATTATTCACAGCTAAAATTTCATTAAATACATAAAAGAAGCTTTGAGATCTCCCCAAGACACAATGGTGTAAGCGAGAAATTTTACAAGACCACTACTGCCCACTCATTTGCAGCCAATGAATAATATGCCATCATTATTTTAGTTAAGAAACAGCCCAATAGATCGGAAAGAGCAAAATGTTTCATTCTAATAAATACGGGCCTAATAAAAAGGCAGCATATACTGAGTCTGATACTCTCATTTACAGAACCCTTCTCTATTCATCACAAAACAAGCTGCCTTGCCATCAATAGGTGCTACTTCAGCTAGCAATACTGTGGATGCCTATAAGCCATTGATTGTACTGGCAGGAGTCTTATTCCTTTGTACCCTCTGACTACCCAGCAGGCCAACTGTGTTGTTGACGGTTCTCGGGCACAGCCTTATAGTGGTGACAGCCGTGGCCTAGACAGGGGTCCTTCTCTCCCCTCCAGCTACATTCTGTTGAGCTACAGCGTGATGAGGAGAGACAGAGCCTTATATGTCTGTTACGGTGATGGAGGTTCGACAGACAGGGGTCCTGATCTACGTCTGCGATGTGACTGACAGGAACATGGGGAATAAAAATCTGTAACACAGGGCCCCTCACCTGCTCACCATTACAAATACTGTATATATTATTTTTCATGACATATTGCAGTATTTATTATTTATTATCTGTGCAACCTTTTTTATGTGCCTCTGTAATCTTTAATCAAAATAATTTCCCCTCCCTCTTGCAACAAAATCTCTTGTCTTCTCTGAGATCACAGCAATACCAAACAACAATCCAACAATTTAATCAATCCCCTATGGATAAAATCCAGTCCTGCCCTACAGTTTTTTTTTACATAGTATTTCACTCTGATATACATCACATTGGTGAAGAAAAGACTATCACAACTTTTGTTCCAACTTTAAGGGTGTTTTCACACATAATTTCTTTAATGGCTACTTTATTTATCTTTTTTTTTTTCTTTTTTCTTTTTACCTGTAGCATTTAAAATGTTTGGTTTTAGCTTAAATTAGTTTGAAAATGACTGAATTTAATTATCCCAAATAGTAAAGAGTTTTATTATCAGCCATTTATTGGATTGGCCATAAAAAGGATTCGATTAAAACATTAAACATTAAAACATTAAAAGCAACATTAATTAATTGTGATACTGTCTGTAGGTTATCATATTTTAATGATATACTGACATATTATCATTATCAGATTCTGTATCAATATTTGCTAAGAAATTCTCCTCAAAGATAAATGATATGCTTTGTGACAAAATAATTCATTCAATAGATAAAAAGACAAAGTTCACAAAGGACAGGTTCACAAAAAATTAAGATAAAATTTAGAAAGATGAAGATGAATTTAAGATAAAATGTAACCACAATGTTCATTTCAGGTCCTAATTTCACCACATTAATAGATATAAAACAGCATTTTGACAATTAAAAAAAAATCTTATCTAAAGCCTCCATTTGTAAGTAGTATTCATCTTATCTGTCTGATATGATAAAATGTCCAGTAATCTAGCTGAGAAGAAAAATGTAACCGATCCTCACCCGGCACAGTAACCAAATTCAGTTCATGAGGTCAATGAGTACATTTGGCAAAAAATGAGCCCTGTTTAGTTAGAAGACAGAAAGTGAGTGGGAGAGAAAGAAAGGGAAGGAGGGAGCAGTAGTACCTCCAACACTGAGGTCAAGGTGGCAAACGTGTTGATAGAGTGACGGATGTTAACTACTCCATTCCCTAGACCTCGAAATCCTAATTTACGCTCCCTCCTACCCCTCAACCCTTACTTTAGGAGAAACAGGCTGGTTTTAGAGAGCTGATCACCATGGCAACAAGAATAGAATGGGAAAAATCTCATTCTGTAACTGCCGCCCTCACTCTGCACTGTGTCTTATTCACTCAAGACACCTTATGATTACATAATTTCACCGTTTCACCTACATATACCCTCCTACCCACAATCCTTTTTTGAGGTCCAAAACAATCATCACACTAAATGTGCGTACCTCTTATTCTCACACTTTCTCTCTGATTGTGAGGAGTGCATGTTGACTTGAAGTTTAGTTTCCTGTCATTAGGAAAAACCACAGGGAAAGAGCAACACAGCACAGCATCCGCTTCCATCCCTACCAGCTGTGCGTGTGCACGTGTTCACGTGCGGAATCCAAGATGCAATTTGCTCACATTTTAAGTGAGTGCATCCATTTGCTTTAAGCAGTAACACCTGTCGTGCAAATCGAGTCTCTGAAATGGATGTCAGTTGGTTAATAGACTCTATATAAATATCATAAAGGTGTCTGCTATATACTGTTTTAATGACTGTACGAGTACGTATACAATCCCAGCCTACTGCTGTCTGCTTAACCTTGGCCAAGGAGAGATCCATACATCAGTGTCTTTGTTGGCAGAGATCTGGATTTATGACAGCACACTGTCACACCAAAAGACATGCACAGACTAGTTGAAATGCAGAGACAATCTGTTTGTCCACAGGGCATGTTGGCGTTTCCTTGCACCCAGTCTGTGCACCTGTGAACAGCTTAAAAATTATACCACCTGCTATTGTAACCCTTGTAACATGCCTCGATGTCCCCTTGACAATGTGGCATCACACCACTCCATTATGCCCACCTTTAATCCCCCGACAGCCCACATAGTCAAACCTACATGCCCCCGTACTCTAAAACAACACTGTGCTACTCACACCTGCAGCAACAAGCTGTTTTTCTCAATGTCTGGCATCATGCCTACATCACCCACCACCATGTTATCATGCCTACAGCAGAGTGGCATGCCAGATTTCTCTCTCTCTCAAACAGGCACAGACAATCTTGGTTAGCTGCTGTGGTGTAGCTACTACTGTGAAGTGCATTCTGAGAGTGTGTTTATGGAGAAGGATGTTTATGTACACACTTGAATGGCACTGATTTTAAGACACTTTCCTTGTTTTTTGAAGTATTTTATATGTCGGATTAATTATGATAAGACATTAATCTAGCATGAAAAATAGCTAGTGATGCATCTCATGTGTTTAACCTTCTCAACTGTCATACATTTCAAAATTATGTCATGAATTTGATCATGTACAAATAATTTTAACTTACAAAAAATTTGTTAAAATAAATAATGCTTAGCACTATACTTGCATAATAATCCCCCCATTACAAAACATGTATTATTCCTTAAAAATTGTGTCACTCAATAAATATTATTATTTGATGAATTCATCAACTTCAAACATTGAAACCTGTTATTTATTGCAATAAATAAATAAATAAATAAATAAAAATGATCAAACAAGTACTGACCTTCAATTTATTGGAAAAAATATATATTTTTAGAAAGACAAATTCATTATTTATTTTACATATTTACATACAATTTTTACATTACATATTATTTTACATATTTTATTTTCTAAATGGTGTTTTTATGTAATATTTATGTAATGTTTATTCTAACGTATATTGCTAAAATATTGGTGTTAAATTGTATTTAGACATATATTTAGTATTTTGAAAACTAAGAGAAAACAAAACTGGCCACTGTTGAAAAATGTATTAAAATATCCAAGTATATATATATTTATATATTTATCTATCAGAAATATGATTTTATCACAAAATAAATTTCAGACCTTATTTTGTGCCCTTCTTGTGGAAAGTACCTTTAACATTTATTCAGTGCACTGCCCGATAATAATCTTCCATTGTACTTTAATTGTGATTTATGGCAATTTGATGTGATTGACATATGTAATGTATGACATACAGTATATGTGTATGTGTGTGTGTTTATGTGTGAGAGAGACAATGGAGAAAATGCAGAAATATCAATACGTATCGCGATATAATTTTTTTCAACAACAGTGATATGATTTTTAAACACATTTCCGCTATTTCAATATACATTACCAGTGTTTCCCATACATTGATTTATTTGTGGCGTTTGACTTCGTTGAATAAACATGAGCACTGCACGTTTCAAAATCAAAACGCAGCGCGAGTGTTTTATATAAATGTATCTCTGAAGGGAACCGACTGTCTTCAGAAAAGTTTCGATGGCATTTTCATTTGATCTGATAAAGTAGCGTTCATGAGCTGAGCTGCTTTGATTACAGCGCCGTTCTCAGCGCCTCCTGCTGGCAGACAATCAGTTTGCATTTTCGATAATAAGCCCGTCTCCAGCAACGTTTTTGTTGTTGCTCAATTTTTTTGTTTTATGCAGCAATTCAGAGCACTTTTCATACTCTTTGTCCTGGCTGAAGCACATTTGTTTCAATCTATAAGAATAATCAGCCTACACCCCCAGTCAAAGTTTTTTTAACAGTAAGATTTTTATTGTTTTTTTTTTAAAAAGAAGTCTCTTCTGCTCACCAAGCCTGCATTTATTTGATCCAAAGTACAGCAAAAACAGTACAATTTTGAAATATTTTTACTATTTAAAATAACTGCTTTCTATTTGAATATATTTTAAAATGTAATTTATTGCTGTGATCAAAGCTGAATTTTCAGCATCATTACTCCAGTCACATGATCCTTCAGAAATCATTCTAATATGCTGATTTGCGGATTATCAATATTTAAAACAGTTGAGTAAACATTTTTTTCAGGATTCTTTGATGAATAGAAAGATACAAAGATCAGCATAAATGTTGTTCAACATAATAAATGATTTTTGAGAAGCAAATCAGAATATTAGAATGATTTCTGAAGGATCATGTGACTGGAGTAATGGTGATAAAAATTGAGCTTTGAAATCACAGAAATAACATTACAGTAATGTTACATTTGAAAATATTTCCAAATAGAAAACAGTTATTTTAAATAGCAAAAATATTTCAAAATGTTACTGTTTTTGCTGCATTTTGGATCAAATAAATGCAGGCTTGGTGAGCAGAAGAGAATTCTTTAAAAAATATTAAAAATCTTACTGTTCAAAAACTTTTCACTGGTATGTTAGCCTATAGTTTGAAGTTGAAGATATTAATAATAAATAAGGCGAGTCTGAGATGTTTATTTGACAGTGATTTCACATTTCTTGTTTGTATGAAGGCTAAATACAAATAAAAGTTGAACATCAATTTATTTGTGCTTTTTTTTCCAAAAAAATATAGGAAGAGGATTCATAGACTTGGCAAATTAATTTTTCATAAGTTTGTAGGTACAGACATCTGTTGTGGGTATTCTTGACAGTACAGGTGCATCTCAATAAATTAGAATGTCGTGGAAAAGTACATTTATTTCAGTAATTCAACTCAAATTGTGAAACTCATGTATTAAATAAATTCAATGCACACAGACTGAAGTAGTTTAAGTCTTTCAAATGAAATACAAAACTTGCTCTCATCTGAAAAGAGGACTTTTTTTTTTTTTGACAAAAAATTTTGCTTGACAATCCTCATAAGGCTGCGGTTCTCTTGGTTGGTTGTGCATCTTTTTCTTCCACACCTTTATCTTCCACTCAACTTTCTGTTAACATGCTTGGATACAGCACTCTGTGAACAGCCAGCTTCTTTGGCAATGAATGTTTGTGGCTTACCCTCCTTGTGAAGGGTGTCAATGATTGTCTTCTGGACAACTGTCAGATCAGCAGTCTTCCGAATGATTGTGTAGCCTAGTGAACCAAACTGAGAGACCATTTTGAAGGCTCAGGAAACCTTTGCAGGTGTTTTGAGTTGATTAGCTGATTGGCATGTCACCATATTCTAATTTGTTGAGATAGTGAATTGGTGGGTTTTTGTTAAATGTGAGCCAAAATCATCACAATTAAAAGAACCAAAGACTTAAACTACTTCAGTCTGTGTCCACTGAATTTATTTAATACACGAGTTTCACAATTTGAGTTGAATTACTGAAATAAATGAACTTTTCCACGACATTCTAATTTATTGAGATGCACCTGTATTTATGAGGCTTTTGTAAATAGTGTTCATATCGATATCGGAATTATATCGTATCGACTGAAATTAAGAAATATATCGTGATATAAATTTTGGCCATATCGTCCAGCCCTACAGTAAAGCCACGCTGACTTGCCCATTTAGTCTGTCACTACAGGTTCAACAGTAAAGGGCGGAGCAGCTCTTTCGACAATTGCCCTTCCTGTCGCAAGGGACACAACGTGTCTGTCTGCGAGTGTTCGTGTGCGTAAATACTAAAACAAGAGGCAAGACAGGACATCTGTCTATACTAACACTGATCCGATCTGACACCTGTAAACACATATGTGTGTGTGCGTGTCTACACTGTCTGGGTCTCAAAGGCACTGCAGCCTTTTCAACGGGTCAGGGAGGAAAACAAAACTGCTGACAAAATGTTAGAATGAATAATTGAAGAACTCGTGGTACCTACGGAGAAGAGCGATGGAGGTAGAGCAGGTGAATTGACAATTTAAAATGGCATTTGATTCAAATGATCGCTTAGTAACAAATAAAACATAACAAGGCTACAGGAACAATGACAGATGTGACATATATGATATATTACAAGTCAGATTCCAGGTCTCAGTGAGATTACATTTCATTTCAAATGTGTGTGTGGCACTCACAGTTCAATGGCTTTGTTCCACATGATGGTATATCCTGAGAGGGTAAAGGACTCCACATTCACAATGTGGATGTTTCCTCGTTCCGAGCCGATGTACAGCCATTTACTTTGGAAGGGCAGATGACAGAACGTTATCCTGCAAAAGAGGAATGTAGAGAGAGTAAATTTGTTATTATTTCAAATTCATAAAAGAACAGAACTGCTCCCATACTCAAAAACACTTTACCCAGAAAGGCCTCATATGTCTCCATTGAAAATGTAATATAATTTCTTATCTTAATTATCTTTCTCATCTGAATTTATAAGATAAATTCAAAATGATATATCTTTTATTGCATTCTCCAGTGTCATATTAGGTTATTTTTGTCTGAGGCCATTAGAAAAATTGTTTAAAAATTTGGATCAATGCTGAATCTTGATCCAGCAGCCTGTATTCTAAGGATTCTCACACATCATACTTTAAATTATATGGTTTGGCTGCTCAAAAGTTGCTGCAAGATGTAGCATATTGCTGCAAAATGAATATTTGAGCAGCCTCATATAAGAGCACAATGGATTAGATACACTGGAACTCATGCCCTTGAAGTTTTCTTTTGGAATATCAAACCATTTCAGTTCTATAAAATAGTGGAAAGGTAATGTGAGGTAGAAAGATGGACTCTGCAGTCATGCATGCATGGACTTAACTGAAATAGGAATTTTGTATTAAAGGGGTAATTTACAGCCGACAAGATGGGGTTTTAATAAGCAGAAACTGCATATATAGAGAAAAAGGTGGTGAAAAAAGGTAGGAAAACTTTGATACCCATAATGCAATGTGCTTGATCAGACTTTCTATGAGCAGGGACTTTTGCTGACAAATAAATGGTGATATCTTTGTGCAGGTAACACAGAAAAATCATACACATTGTTTATTTACTTTACTTCAATACAAAGCTGGTTGAAAATCAGTTAATCTTATGATGGTCTCTTTTAGTCACTTGTAAAGTACTTTACAGCACATAGTTTAAATAGTGACTTTAAATTTCCCCCTTATTAATTTTTTTTTTTTGAGACCCCAGTGATCTCTAGTGTCTCTTTTAGAGTTTCAAAAGAGATGTCACAACCTGTGCCCAGATTTACCAAGGTACCAAAGTCTGCAATTATACTGTGATTTCAATAAAACATATTTCTCCATTTTTAGTTCAAGACAAATTTACTGGAGATTTATTCAAATTTTATAGACTCTATGTCAACAATTGAATCAAATGTTTACTTCTCCTAAGCAAAGTAGGAAACACATCTGAGACGGTTCATAACATTTCTGACTCCCTCAAGTCCCCGTAACTACAAAAGATCTACCTTTGAGAAATAGCATTTTTCTGTGGAAACTACGGGTAAGATAAGCAACACCGAAAGCTAGCACATGTAATATTTAGCACATTCAGAGTCAGGATATTGACAGTCACATGCTGCATCAATGAACCATGCAATTTTCTTCCAACCAAATATGTTCGAATGTAATTTACGTCATTCTTGAGTATAAAAATGCTTAGTTTAGCTTGAGCTGCAGTTCTGCTTGCTCAACTCAAATGTACTTTTCTGTAAGTCCCAGAGGGATGAAAATCAAGCGTAGTGTTAGTTCTGGCAGGTCACGTTAGTCAAGCTCGCATCAGCTGACCTTCAGCTGATCCCCATCTACCTATGGGACCTAGGTTGTTCGAGAGGAACTACACTAGCCTGTCTTCGGCTGGAGAGAGTAGCCGCTTGCAGTGCAATTTGTTTTCCAAGGCAGCAACGGAGTTCTCACGTGTGTTTGTTTGTTCCCGTCATTTCGGTGACGAATGTTTTATAACACGGTACATTCTGCCACTGGATTTGCACATCGTTTGATACTGAAATTCTTTAACGTTCCGCTGGAAACAAAGATGCCATGATGCCAAACCCTTACGAAAAAAGGAAGCCGCCGTGTTTACAACTGTGATGACGAGCGCTTATCAGGATCAACTAAACGCTGGATTCTCAAAGTATGTAAAA